AATGGCTCATCGCAGTCGCATGTAAAATTATCGCGGTCAATTTCTTCTTGTGAATTCAGCAGTAGTATAAAAAAGACAGTTCCAGGAACTCTCATAATGTATTTTAAATGGGGAGCTACCTAAATTCAAGTTAGTTCCTTTTTTCGCCAACAACTTTCATCTGTCACCTGTCATTGCCACCTTCCAATTCCCTCTCTCTCTCCCTCTCCTTCTCTCTCTCTCTCTCTCTCTCTCTCTCTCTCTCTCAAAAAATTCATTGGATAAAACTTCATACTTACATCGAGCTTCTTTTCATGATTATTTCTTTTTTTTTATTCCAATTAAAAAAACACCATAATTTTTTTTCCTCTGCAAATGATTTTATTTATCTGTTTCCAACCAGTGAATACTAATAATAGTAGTAGAAGTTGTGAACAAAGTGAAGACTAGCTTACGCCATACACATTGTTTTCATTTCGTTTGATGAGACGCTATCGAAAACTGCCAGCACCATAAACAGATGACGCACAGAGTATTCTAATCTATTTTGTGATGGGATTGTGGAACGAAGAAACCTGAACAAAAAAGATAACATTTGAATTATTTTACGGGCGAAATTGTTTCATTTCACTTAAAACTTAATATTTAGCTTCACTGGGTTATGGTAAATACAGACAGGTGTTTTCAAAAATAAAGGAGAAAAAAATGTGTTCAGCTCGAGAGAAGATGATGATGATTCTTAAGCTTTCCAGTTGGGGCCCGGAGCAAATGCTGCGCTCTCTCCGCCCCAGATTCGGCTCCGGTGATCAATAATTTTGATTTTATTTAACAGAGCTCAAAATGAGTACATTTATGCTATTTGATTAGATTTACGATTGTTTGAAACACAAAAACTAATTCAATTGAATTTATTTGATTCATTGAGTCATAAATCATAATCACAAATAATATTGTCAAATATGAATATGAATCATATAATCATGATTTATGTTTTGATTCATTTTTGTGATAACAAACGTGTGACTTTCAAATAAATCATATCAGATTTAATCAATATAAAGAGTAAAAGGCTATGTTACAATCTGACGGTGACTTTTGAAAAATGGAAAGTTAGGAGTCCTTTAATTATGTACTAATAATGTACTATGCGTACAAGCATTCAAAAAATTTTGTACTTCATTCATGTGGATTTTATGAAACTGGTATAAAACCGCATTTTGGGCCAAAACTGGTATAACTGGTATACATTTTTTAAATTGATCCAAATAATTTTGTACCATGGCCTATAATTTTCCTCCTAATCCTTTCGACCCTCCCCTTTGAACAAAAAGCCCACACAATCGAAACACGATTAAGCGCATTTTCAAAACATGCTTTTTTCACAGACAACGCTCTATTCGTGTGATATCAAACACTACATAAGGCTCATGCATTCCTACTACCTACTCACCGATATAGTTCATGAATAACGTTAGTGTGAGTGTGTGGGTTATGAACGACATAGCAAGTGAGCGATATTGAATGTATGCTCGCGTTTGATGCTCATGCCTGCGAATACACAAAACCAAGAAATAGAGCTATTTTGTTACTGCAATGATGTTGATACAGTATAGTGACTCCGGCTCCACCTCAGTGGTAGCACCATCAATGAGCGAATTCATGATGAGCATAGAGGCTCCACGCAATTTATGGAATGGAGTCATCCAGACGCAGCTATGAAATCCACACTGAAGACAACATTCGACCTGCCTCTAGTGGTCATACACAAAACACACGTTGAGCGGTCACACAATACAGACATGCTAGCATAGGATTTATATGGTTTGCGCGAAAGGCTACTTGATTATGATTATGGGCCATGCATACGCTTATGTGATTGAAATCTTCATCTATCACCATAAGCGTCGTGTCAGTAAAGCTCGTCTTATGTTTACATTGGAAATACGTGTTATTGTTGTTGTAACTTCATCCAGAGAACGAGTCATGCATCGATTATTCAATAACAGCATAATCCTAGTGAATTATCCTGTGCCGGTATTCTACGACTTTCCGACAAAATCGTTCGGAATTATTTTTTTCGTACATAAGACCATATTGGAGTGAAAGAGAGAGATTCCATTTTTCTGCACTCCACCGGAATTATTTCTCAGACAATCCACTCTTCCTTGAGTTATCGGAATAATTCCGGTGGAGTGCAGAAAAATAGTGGAATCTCTCTCTTTCACTCCAATATGGTCTTATGTACGAAAAAAATAATTCCGAACGATTTTTTCGGAAATATAATAATATGTGTATATTTGAGAAATCATATGGAGTATCAATTTTTAATTGGAGCGTCATGCTCCATTGAGAACCTTCAAGTGGAGAGTCATGCTTATAGAGAGCATCAATGATAAGAGAGAAACGACTCAACATCAAACGATTGTGCGAGCGTGATTGTAGCGCATTTAATCACCACTTGATTGATGTCAAGACGTTTTGCCGTTAAGGCAGCGAGTCAAAAAAATTAACTTCGCTTTCGGTTGCGCATCGTCTGTCCAGGATAGCGAACACTTCGTTCAAATCGGCCATTACCTGAAGAGTGGATATGGCCAAAAGGAACTGCTTCGTTTATTTATTTATTTATTTACACCGCCAAAAACGGGCTGAATTTGTTTGCAGGAAAACGACTCCAAGAGTCGTGAAAAACCTGATTGTACATACAATTTAGTGTGTGATAATAGTACTTATGTCTTAGTCTTTCTTGATTGGAATAAGTATTTGGTCTATAAACATTTCAACACAAAATAACCTAACCAACACATGGAAATGAGTAGGAAGCCGAAATGTAAACGGTTCGAAAAAGCCTATCATCACGTAAAAAAAGCCTAGCATCATGTAAATATCACAGGTAATATCATTATTTCTATACAGATGTGAGGATTTAAGAAAACAATTTGTCAATATTTAATATTAAATTTTTGGTTGGAGTGAGTGTATACTTTGGAATGAGTGAGTGAATACGTATGAGACGAATGCATGAGCCTTATGTAGTGTTTGATATCACACGAATAGAGCTTTGTCTGTTAAAAAAGCATGTTTTGAAAATGCGCTTATTCGTGTTTCGATTGTGTGGGCTTCTTGGTCAAAGGGGAGGGGTCGAAAGGATTAGGAGGGCATTTTTCGGGAGGTACAAAATTGGTACATAATTATAGGCCATGGTACAAAACTATTTGGGTGATGTACAATATTTTTGAATTTTGTTCCATTTGCACTGGAAAGTGAAAATCGAGTTTTTTTTATCAAAAGAGTGGGTCGATGGGGTCGGGAGGGTGTTTTTCAGGAAGTACAAAATGATAGGCCATGGTACAAAATTATTTGGAGCAATACAAAAAAATTTATACCGGTTATACCAGATTTGGCCCAAAATGCGGTTTTATACCAGTTTCATAAAATCCACATGAATGAAGTACAAAATTTTTTGAATGCTTGTACGCATAGTACATAATTAAAGGACTCCTAACTTTCCATTTTTCAAAAGTCACCGTCAGATTGTAACAGAGCCAGAGTAAAAAGATTACGTTTGACATATGATTCAGTGTTTGAATATTCCTATTGATTCATTTAAACACTTTAATTTCATGATTGTTTGAGCTCTGTTATTCAAAATTATTTTAACAGCAAACTACTTAAAGATCCAAATCGAAATAAATGAATAAAATAACTAAACCAATAAAATTGCAATTGAAATGTAATTAAATCTTTTGATTTTTCACAATATTTGAGCATTTGACGAAATTTTAAATAATGATTGGTCGTTGCCATTACATGAAGATGATTGAAGAATTCTTCACATGAAGAAGATTGAAGTTCAATTTACTTTTTTAATTAAATTCAAATGTAAACAGGACTGCACCATTACCATATGATTGTGAATAAATTGAATTTCGGACTACATCAATGAATACCGAATTTACAAACGATTGATTAAATTAAAAAAAAATCAATTAGACGCAAAATTTTCAAAGTGGCAATGGTGATGATTGAATGGTGTATGGATTGCACTTTGTAAAAATTGCTCGAAATTTAAGAATTTCCAAATGGTAACGACCGAATGAATTCGAAATAAGTATTTTTGATTTTTTTCCAGATATCATTTAAGAACATTAAAAATCCGAGATTGAATACAATGAATTGAACGTGTCTATTGAAAAAATCAATATAATCGGCTGGTGTGGTGCAGTTATAACAAAAATGAATACACAGCCAGCAAAAAGCATACGTCAAAAACAGACCTATCGCGCGGTAGACAAATTCTCGACACGACATTTTAGCTGGTGGAGTTGGCTGAGCTGGCAGAGCTGGCAGAGCTGGCCGTCCAATTTCTTCGACGAGAACATCCTCAACTTTTTCGTTGACAAATTGTTGAAAGTCATCCCGATCCAGTATGCAGTATTTTCGGCCATTTTTACCTGAAAAAAGCAGAAAGATGAACATCACAAAGAGAGAAAGAGAGAGAGAGAGAGAGAGAGAGAGAGAGAGAGAGAGAGAAGGAGAGAGAGAATTAACTAGTGCTGATAAAAGGTGATGCAAATTGATAAAATTTCGCGACATGCTAACGATGATGAATCAATATATGCAAGACTTTGTACGAAATGGTACAGACAGAATGTTACTCGTTTCAGAACAGCGAATTCTATGTAAAGTAAAATATGGATAAATCATACGAAACGAGCGCACCAGAAGCCCATTTCGATGACTTGTAAACAGACCTAACCACTGACACACGATTTGGTTCACATACCTGTATAATAAATACGGAAATTTTCATTTGTCAACAGCGATACTTTATTTTTAATTTTCGTCATGAAATCATCAAAATTGTTCTGATCAACACTGATACGAAAATTAAGTGGTTCGTTTTCACTCAAAACCTTAATAGAAACCGTGTAAGAGCGTTCCATCTTTTTTAAATATATTTTTTGTCTTTCGTTACAATCGGCTCATACACAATGTAAATATCTTTACGACTCAGCCACAAATGATGCGATACACATAAAACAAATGTTCTGTTCAAGAATAAGCGATGCCTTATGATAATATTCACAGTACGGGCACGATAAAATGTTGTTTTGGAAAATGATTGTAGTTCACAGCGGAGTTTTGTGTTTTTTTTTGCGTGACAGATGATTTTGTTTAATGACAACAAAAATAGAAAAAAGCGCCAGTAGACAACACTACTCACGAATGTCAAAAAAATGTATTTCAGTGTGTAGAGTATATTATCGCGCGGTTTGACATCGTGGTGAGTTGGAAACTGTCAAACTTGTTGTTGTATACACACAACGAGAGAGACACAAGACCAAAGTACATCTTAGAATGTTTGAAAGATTTCTTTTCAGTGGTTGTTATTTAATTACTTAAAAAATGGGCA